AGATAGATAGATAGATAGATAGATAGATAGATAGATAGATAGATAGATAGATAGATAGATATAAATAGCAGCTTCGACCCATATTCTGAGGGACAAGAATTAAAGTTTTTTCAAAAACGAGATATGTTTGTCCAGGAAAAAGTACGTTTTTGTGTCTGTTTTCGTAACTTAAAATTGCGTTTGCCCAAATTAATTAGCATATTTATGGGTAGAGTCTTAAACCATAACGATTGAAGCAATTACTTGAAATTCCAATCATTAGATAAAAAGCTATTCAGGATGCTCTCTTTTATACTGCGTAGTGTATATATAAAAATATTTTAAATATAAGAAAAGTAATAATAAGTTTCAGATTAACCTTTTATTGAGAACAACAGTTCCTAAGAATAACTGTTTACTTTCGAATAAATTCTGCAATGTAGGGCTTTGTAGAACAATTGAATAGAGCGCAATATTGTATAAACTCAAACAGAGAGGTAAAACATAAAATTTTATTAGAAAATACAATCTAAAAATACAAATTCTACGTCATGCTTTTATTTTCTAAATGAAATTTTTTTTTATAAAAACTTTTCAATTTGGAGCTACAACTTGCAAAAGAACTGGCCACGCAATCCCAGAAGATATTGATCTTCATTTATTTCATATCATTATACGCACAGAACACAAATTATAAGAAAAATTAGCTATACAAAATTCTAATATTATAATTATCATTTTGTTTTATGTTTATGAATTCTATATAAAACAGCTTAAAGTCTCAAAATTCAAAAACATACAATTATTATGAATTTACAGCAAAATCTGATCAATAATTTTTTCTTTTGTGAAAAAAACAAAATTAAAATCACTTATATACATAAATAATTGTATGTAATTTTAAAAAAAAATCAAAAATTAGCTAAAACGTGTTAATTCTCACTAGCCTCGAACAAAATTTAGCAATGAGTTTTAAATGCGAGGTAAACTATAAATAAAAAAAATGGAAATTTTAAATAACTCTTCCAAAAACATGTTATTATTTTTTTCAATTTTCAAACATTGTTTAAACCACAATAAGTTCAAAAAATAACAATGACACAAAAACATTAAATACAATTTAAGCATGTCGAAATTTCGTTATTAGTTAAAGCTATTTATTAAATAAAATCATAAAATGCGTAATTAAATAACAATAACTTGAAAGCTATCAAAAATACTGAAGTCAAAATTAAACATTATAAATACAATCAATAATATGCGAAAAATACAGACAAATCAACAACCTTTGAAAAACTATTAACTCAATAAGTATTAACTACTGGTGATTCCATAAGTTTGCTAAAACCTGAAAACACGTTTTTCAAAATTTTAAGGCATATCTATTAATTTACATTATTGATATATTTAATATAAAATATATCTGCATCAAAATATGCACAAAAAATATATTTTCAACTACAAGTTTGAAATAACATGAAATAGACGTGATTCATTTTAAATTTTAGTTGCCTTTAAGAAGCAATTTGAAATTATAACAAAAATACAAGAATAATAATACAACATAAAAACATGAATGTATTAAACAGCTAATATTGTTAAAAAATGATGAAATACTTTTTTAAAACAGAGACACAATAAAGAAGAAATATGATAATGAAATCTAAACTAAAATGAAAATAAGACTGAAAGTTCTAAACTAGTCAATGGTTTGATAAACAGACTATTACGTTATCGCCGCCATTAATATAAATTTTTATAATCCTTAAAAAATGACTTTTAGTGTTCATACCAAAAAAATCAAAACAGTTTTGTCGTTATGGGAGTAAAAAAGAATAATGTTTTTTAAAACCTGATCCCTTTATTTAGAAAGACAGAATGAAATAAAATCAGAACCAGTTTGATTGTCCAATATAATTATAATCTACTTTTACCCCTTCTCAATTTTCTGAGATAATTAAACTGTTTTAAATGTTTTTAAATTCGCTTTCTTTAAAAATAATTTCTTACATTTTAATAATACTTTTACGTCATTTAAATAAAAACATTGAAACCCCCCCCCATTGGTCACAAATAGACCTTTTTTCACCAAGGATTCTAAAGATATATATTTATAGTTAAGAAAAACCCTGTATATAAAATGAAAACACACTAAAAAACTGATAATGCAGTAAGGAAATAACAGATCTTCATGGGAAATTTTAATTAATTATTTTCAGGCCATTCGTTTTAGGTTTAAAAAAATCAATTGGAAGATTTTAACTTATGCATTAAGTTTAGCTATATAAACTTTCAATACGCTGCACTTGAAAACTCATAAAATGACATAACATATAAAATATGATTATTTACAACTCATATTTTCCCCCCAAAGTAATTCATTAAAATTTTACTAATGCTTTTAATTTTTCGTTATATAAATAAATAAAAAATTTGACCCCCCCCCCCCTATTGGTTACAACTAGGCCTTTTTTTAAAAAGATTCTAAATATATTTACTTAGAGTTACAAAAAACCCTGCATGTAATATAAAACTAAACTAAATAACAGACCATCATATGAAATTATATTGATTTTCAGTTAATCCATTTTAGGCTAAAACAATTTAATTCAAAGATTTCAATTTATGCATTAAGTTTCTCTATAGAGACTGCAACTCTAAATATGCTGCATTTGAAAACTCATAAAATGATGAAAACATATAAAATATGATTTATTTACAATTCATATTTTTGCTTTAGCCACGAAAGCTGAACAATTAAAACATCACAGACAAGCACAAAGCAATACAATTAAGGCAGCTCGATGCAAAAAATACATTTAAAAAATACAACACTATAAAAAATATAATAGTTCTCTAGATCATTCCTTTTACCAAAATCAGTCTTAAGTTCGTTTAAAGTTTCACCATAATATACAAGTACACAATCTTTTACAAATAAGGCACTTTTCGAATTCACTTTCTAAATCATTCCGTCATTAAAATATTTTTCATTTCACATTTCACCGAGATTCTTCAAATGCAATATATTTTTGTTCGACATAAAAACGTTCAGTGATTCGCTCAGTTTATTGGAATCAGTTTTCAGTGGGTATTGTTATCTTCAGCAGTTACTTCAGTTGAAGCGTTAGAGTGGGTGTCGTTGTTTTCGGTGGGTTTTGCGTCCTCTGGCTCTTGCTTGCTTTTAATGTCAATGACTACGTAACCATCGACGTCATCAAGCTCACGTGACCAAAATTTAGCTGCTATGTTCTTCTCACCTGAAGTCTTGGGGGTCATAGTGCAAGTTACTTCAGCTGTCCCTTCTACAGGCACATCTCTATAAATAATAAAGAAATTATTAGAGCCTGGTATAGAAGAAAACATAACGACATGAGGATACATAACTTTTTAAACATTGCAGTAACGATATTATCGTAAACGATAATTGTCGGATCCAAAAGATAAAATGGGCTGGACATCTAGTTAATTTGCTGAGAGATCTAAACTGCAGAAAACTGTTTCATGCCAAGCTTATCGCAAAATAAAAAAGAGGCAGACCTTCCTTAGATGGATTGACTGTCTTGAAAAAGACATGGATATTCTGAAAACCAAAAATTAGTGGACAGTCGCCAAAAAAAGAATCACCTGGAAAGGCTTTTGGAAAAGGCCAGGGACTACTTAGAGTTGTCGTGTCACTGTAGAAGAAGATATATGTCTGATAACAGATAATAATACTTTTTGATGCATGTTGAGTTTCATGAGTTATAACATCGACCTATGCAAAATAATTAAAATAGAAAACTATCACAAAATATTGCGAGATATCAATATTCCTTGGCAACGTATCGTGATATTAACATTTTGACATAAAAATGCAACATAAATTATATAATTCTTTTATGATTTTAATTTCTCGGTATTTTGTAATTGTTAATCTTTTTATAACATTTTGTCAATGTGATTGAAAAAAATATTAAAAAACAGACTATTCCGATTAAAATTTCTCAGGGTATATGAAATCTCAGGCTAAGAAAGCACCATGCGTCATAGTGTAACATGAACAAAATATCGTAGAACACATTGTAAAGCCTCATGTTTTCCATGCGAAACCTCGCATGTGACTCACACATATAACTGTACATTAGATAGTAGGAAAACAAGTAACTTTATTTAAAAATCTGGCATTCATCTAAATGGTAGGCAGAGAGTTACTTGACATCAACTCAGACATTTGTCGACCACTGCAGCTAAAAGTTACAGACATACAGCGTATAGAGTTCTTTGTATATTGTGGTTTTTCCCATCTAGTGGGCCTCGACCACCACTACAAGATCTCATCAGGCCATCTATCATCTCACCAGAGTCACATCTAGTGAGTTCTTTCAACAGCAAACGTTGTCACTTGGGCATATTAGTCAACATGACCTGATGCCAGCTAGTTCCATCATGCAACACAACAACATCATACAACTGACGACCAGCTTCTAACAGCATCATGGAAGCTGATAAGTGTTACTGAGAGAAAAAGCGCAGAAGCTGATAAGTGTTACTGAGAGAAAAGCACACAAGCTGATAAGTGTTACTGAGAGAAAAAGCATACAAACTGATAAGTGTTACTGAGAGAAAAAGCACAGAAGCTGATAAGTGTTACTGAGAGAAAAAGCATACAAACTGATAAGTGTTACTGAGAGCAAAGGCACAGAAGCTGATAAGTGTTACTGAGAGAAAAAGCACACAAGCTGATAAGTGTTACTGAGAGAAAAGGCACAGAAGCTGATAAGTGTTACTGAGAGAAAAAGCACACAAGTACCGGTCACTATCATCCGTATTTATCCATTAATCTAGTTTACATAACATTGATGGCAGCTACTAAATGTTTAATATTAACTATTAAAATCACTGAAAAAGTTAAATATTTTTTTTCCACCAATGGCAGGCACTGAATTTTAATCTTTGCCTATGTAGATGCCGGAATTATTACTCATTTAGCGTTACCCAGAGGGCACCTGTGAACCAAAGTCACGGAGGCGAGCAACATTGCCCACGCCACAAACCCGTTTATAGGGTGGGCCACATTCACACATCACACATACTCACAACAGAGGACAGCACAGAGAGAGAGAGAAACATCCATGCCCAGAGCGGGATTCGAACCCGCAGCCAATGGCTTCGCAGTCAGGCGCACTAACCGCTCGGCCACCTGGCCGGCGAAAAAGTTAAATATATGCGAATGGCATACTCGCGACAAGTATAGCAGAAAAATAAATGCATATTTTCTGTTGATGACGTACATTTCCGACCACTCTACACCCTGATGGGCCATTGCGCAACTACCAGAAGAAATATAAACAAGACCTTTAAATTAAACAAAACCCTGCTAAGTATAGTTTGTCTAAACTAAGAAATCCCGTAGCCATTCGTCTGAACCCCTGGTAACGAGGTATAACTGTTTCAAGTAGGGGTGTGGGGTTATTGTTTAGGACTGGTTTTGGTTCGGGTAGGCGAAAGAAATTGAATCTTTTTCTTCCGTCCACTGTGTTAGCCCTAGAGTGAAGAGAAGCTACCCTTCCTGAAATGAGCTATTCTTGTTTCATATTCTTGTTCGGTATCAGAGTTTGTGGTGGGAGTAGTTCTTACAGTAGACAAACTATATTTAACAAGTAACGTCAGTCGATCGTAGTTTTTCGATTCTCCGATCAACGATGGATCGTTGCAACACAAGCATGTAGGGGATGGATAAAAAAATACCTTTGGACTGATTGTATTAAAAATTCTTGGTAAATTTATTCTTAACCATTTATTAAGCATGTGAATTGGAACAAGATAAAGTTAATATCATTCAGCATAATGGTCAAAAAATAGGCTTCATAAATTAAAATTATTGCATACCCTTTAACTCTCAGTTTTAGTGGCTCTCCTAAACCAGGACCTTCAACCACAAAGAAACCTTTCTTAAGAATTTTTGGTAACGGATTTTTCAACTTGGCTGTGACTTTTAATTCTTGGCCTTGGGTTAGTTCGCCTTCCACCTAATTGAGAAAAAAAAGTTTTATTCACTGCGCATAAGCTGTAAGTATATAGAACTCATAAAATAAGTAACAAACATAGAGAGAACAAAGACAACAATAAAAATTAATGAAAAGAAAAGAAAAATTATTAAAATAGCATATTTTTAAAAAAAAAATTTAAATTTTTTTTTAAAAATAATACATAAGAAAATTTTACACTATAAAATATTCAATATGCCATTGCATATATATTTAATATAAAAAAAAACATTTTTTGATTTTTTAATATTTTTTAAAAATATTTCATTTTAATAATTTTCCTTCTCTTTTCTTTAATCTTTATTGTTTTCAATGTTTTCTCTGTTTTAAGTTTTTAAGTTATATATATTTTTTTTATTTATAAAACCTTTTAATTCAAATTTCTTTAAAATTATACATATAAATTAATATTTATTTATTATTTGAAATAGAGTTAACAAAATTATAGATCACCTCAATCTTGATGTCGGGCTTCCTAACCCTAAAGTCATCCTGAGCGAAGTAATCGAAACCAGTTTCAACTACCTCAGCCATGGCTATCATGTTAAAGGATCCCTGGTCGACGAGATCTTTTTCGTAATCATCATAAGACACTTGCATTGTAACTTCTTGTTCTAAAACATAATTATTTAAATTGAATATTTTCAACTACACATTAATGAACTCGTTTGAAAACAGTTTCTTTCAACTAGAATAAGTAAAATCTTTATTTAAATAAATCTGAAGTTAAAATATATTCTTAATATCAAATGATATTAGCAAAATATAGTTATTTTTATAAAATTACCTGTTCCTTCAGACACTTTCACTTTAAACTTTTCTCTTTTCACAGATTCTTTTAACTGCCCTGTATAGAAAGTTGTGTGAACAGCAAGGGCTCCTTTTACAGTGTAAGTCTTATTCTCAACTCCCTTATTCTTAACGGTAAGTTTAACCTAAGAAAATAAACAAAAGTATGTGACATATATTTACTGTTTATTACATATTCAGACAAAATTTATAATTATTATTATTCGTAAAATATAAATTTCATGTTATAATATATTTTTATTTATTTTTTATTTTTTGAATTATAATTTTATTTATAGATTATATTTTCATTTATAGATTATATTTATATTTATAGATTATATTTTCATTTACAGATTATATTTTAAGATTTTATTAGGCAGTTGCAGCCTAGCGATTAGAGCATCAGACTTCAACCCGGAGTAGTCAGTTTGATCCTTGAATGACGCTAAGACCTACAGAATACACGCGATATGTATGTTCCTAAAATCTGTGGAATCGAAAGTTCTGCAGTTGGTCGCGGAGCAGTACCATGAGTACAGAGATTTGGAGGTAATACTTTTCCTCGTCAGATTTACGTCTAAATTGTGAAAGTAGTCCTACGAATGAATGGTGCTGCCATCTATCAGAGTAATTCTAAGCTAAGTAGCACTTTCACCCTTGTGGCGCTCTCTTGTCAAACGAAAGGCACTCCTTCCTGACTTAATTCAAAAAGGTTAATGGCTGGCAAGCTTGGTTTGTCTAATCATTAGAAACAACAACAGATTTTATATTTATTAAAAATAATTATACTTCTGTGTGTACAATGGGTTTGACAAATACTGCACTCGTGAAATTCGACTTCGAAAAAATTTATCTGGAGTTTAAAAAAAATTTAAATAGAACTCTTTCGAATAAAAATTACATGAGCATTATTTTACATTCTAATATTTATTTAGCAATAAATGTTCAAGTTTCGTTACACATAAGTGGCTAATAAAAATGGTTCGATGCTCAGACTAAATTTATTGATAGCAATATTCTAAATCTGTTTTTGTTACGATTAGAATCTTCTTATAATTTTGAGCAAATTATTAAATTTGGTAACTGTGCACAAATATTTTTGAAGGTTCATCGCGGGAAAAATCGAACTATATTAATACCAATGACCATTATTCTTTCCATTTGCAGCATTAATATGATTGTATGCAGCATTATTATGATGTTAGGCAGCATTTCCACATGCAGCATTAATATGACAGCAGAGTTGCCAGTATGACAAAACTTTATATTGGTAGAAAATATCAATGGAAAAAAAGATTTTGTAGTAACATACATTTGAATACAAAATACATGAAACAATTTTTACCATAGAGAATTCTACTTATCCTTTTTGTATAATAAAGTAAAATTCAGCAGTTCAAATATGTCTGAAAAATTATTTTCCAAGTGCCCATTGTAACGTTTAAAAAAAGCCGCATTTTCACCTAAGTCATTTCGTTCGTCATTTTCAGATTAAGTTGTAGCTCAGCTCTGAAATGCATGACACCGTAATATAAATTGACTCATACGCAATCTTTACTTTTACTATCCTTTTTTTCCTACCGCGCATTTTAATAGAGAGCATTGTTTTCTTTTACTTCAAATGTTTCTTTTTCATTTAGTTAGTTTGTGAAATTGCTGTTTGTCCAGTTTACTGGGAGTTTCTATTTTTTCACTTTTGTATCATATTTTCAAGATTTTGTTTGACATTTTTCTTCTGATTTCATTTTATGTATTTCTTGTATTTCTTTCTGGACTTTTACAAAACTTTCGGGATACTGAGAGATCGAATTTTGACATTTGTCCGCTCTCTCAATAGATAAGGTTTTGCTCTATGGCTTCCAGAGCTGGTACCCCCTGAAGACGTCGGCTTCGGAGGCCATATTTTCATTTTTATTTCCATTGCTTTTTTCCTTATTGCTTCAACTTTAAATAAAGCTACATTTTCACCTAAGTCATTTCGTTCGTCATTTTCAGATTAAGTTATAGGTCAGCTTTAAAATGCATGGCACCGTAATATAAATTGACTCTTATACAAATACGAGTGTCTAAAGATTTACGTTTCGCATTATGTAGGCATTAAATTTCTAAAATTTAATGTCCTTGTAACGTTGAAATTCAGCATTATTTTCCTCTCCGACATGAAATTTCAAATGCTATTTTCAAGCAAAGTTGAAGTCCAACTCCAAGGCTTATGGCATTAAATAATAAATTGCGTCTTATATTAACACGATACAATTCAGCATTATTTTCACTTATAACATTAAATTTCGATTGCGATTTTCTAAGAAAAATAAATCTCAACTCCAATATGGCACCATTATAAAAACGTAAACTTTCTAAAATTGTTTGCTTATAAATTTTTTAATTCATTTAAAATAAAGCTGTTTCTTACATTGAAAGGACTCCCAATTACAATGTCATCTAACAGTTGGAAGTCAAATTGAACATCTTCAAATTCATCATTTAAGTAATAACGCGAGAATACGTTGCCACATTGTCGAAGTGCTCGCAACATGACTTCCCGTTCTTCTTTGCTGCCTGAAATAAAAAATTAATAGCGTCAAAAAAGTTACTCAATATAAAAATAAATATTCATTCTAATAACTAGTAATATGTTATATGTTTTTATATTATTGCAAAAAATAGTTACTAAGATTTTAATTCGATAGTTTCTCAAAATATTCACAAATATCATATTTTTATAAAATGCCCACTGAAGTAATTACCTCTTTATTCCAAAACGGTTACTGTTTTAATCATACAATTGATGTCTAGATATTGTAAAGTGGCAAAGTGCCACGGATGAACTGGTTACTGGCTGTGAGACAGCACCATCTGGTAGAAAACTGTAGAGTGATTTCAGCTTGGAAACGCTCCGAGGGAAAAAATTCAGATTTACAGTTTCGAAAATATGATCTCTTTAATAAACAGATAACAGGAGCAACGAACTCTTCTAGTTAGATCAAAAACTGTTGTTTTTAGTCCCAAAGTGGTTTAGTCCACTGAACGATTTCTGTGTGTCCACAGATTTCCAGAAAGTGTAAAAGCAAAAGAGGTTAAGAAAAAGCCTCATCTAACTTAAAATTAATACAATTTAAAACAGAGCATGGAAGTTCATATCTAATGTGAAAAATTCCGGAAGAATACTGGTACCCGGAGAAAAGAATATGGATAGAGAAAGAAGGTTAGCATCCATAGATATAACTAGTCCATAGATATAACTATATGTAAACTAGTCCTTTGGTGTGGTGCCTGCGTATAAAGGAAAAACGAACTTAAAAGGGGCACAGCAGCAGACGTTCTTGAAACGGATTTGTATCCTCCTCTCCTCCCAAACACTACTGAGTTTGGGGAAGAGGTGAAAAGTTATAGCTTTTTTGTTTATTGTTGGCTTGTTCTTCATTTTTTACACTATTGACAAAAGATTCTGTACTATGAATTAACATTTTTTTTTGAGAATACATTCGTATCAGCCATCTTGATTAAATTCGCTAACAACTTTTGAGAAAGAAAGAAAAATGAAATGATGGTTGGTGGAAGTCAGCGCCATCTGGTAGAAAACTGCAGAGTGATAAACATACATGTAGCATAATATATGTAAAAGCGCTCCTAAACATACGTATAGATAGATGATTATCATAGATTCCTAACCACACCATACATCCAGCAACCGGTTCTACTCATATTTCAATAGATATTATTAATTTATGTAAGCTTTTGTGGTAATTAACTATAAAAAATTTACGAGTAAAAAAACCAGCATTATTACTAGTGTATTGCGAACAATTTATGCACATCCATATATTAAAGCGCATTTTTTAGTACGTAATGCAAATAAAAAAACTATTAAATAAACTCATATTTGCAAATAATGATCTTTTTAATCATATTTGCTACTTAGTTGCACTGTGCTAATTCCAGGATCGAATTTCGATAAAGCATACTGGCACCCTGAGGACAGCATCCGTAAAATCCATTTTTACAGCAAAATTTTAAACCATAAATTTTACAGTAATAAACATTTAGCTAAAATTGTTCAGTGAGTTTGCAGTAAATATTACTGTAAAAATTACGGTATATCAAACTTTTTGTTCCATTAAATGTTATGGCAAATATGGATTTCACGGTAAAAAATTACTGGCACTCTAAGTGCCGGTACTTTTTACCGAGATTCGAACCGGAATTTTTTTACAGTGTAATATACTAAACGCACTCAAAAAATTTTCACCGCTATTTTACATTCATGAAAAATCTAAACAATTTTTAAAATGTTAGCAAATGTAGTGTAATGAAAATTTTGCTGAGCGAAACCATAATAGAGCGTAGTAACTAAAAAATCAAAACATATTTATTTCACTAATAATTAAAAATAATGATTCGAAATAAGGTTGTTAAAGATTTCCTTGCTTCCAAGCAATGATTTTTCAGGTGAAAAGAGAGTGTCTTAATATTTTTTGTTCTAAATCTAAAAAAAAATGCTGTTGCTATAGTTTAATTTAAAACTCGAATATTTCAAGAGATTAAACTTAATCGCCAGCCTTTTGATTGCCAATGGTGCCAATTGGCGAGTGAAAATTTTACTACATCGTTTAAAATACGTTCGCGAGACGCCAGAGTACTTGTACACCTTGCGCAAATACGAATAGTCTTTTGTGAGTGACACCTCAGTAGATCAAAAGTTAAACCAACAGAAAATTAGCAGAGAGAGGTGCTGCCTATCTAATAAAAAAAGATTGCCAAGTTGGTGGAAATATAAGGCGTAGAGGCAGATACAAATTAATAACAATTCTTTCAATTTTAATAAAGCAAATTATAATTGATCTTTTAAGGTTATTTTTGAAGTCAACTTCAAACCTTAACTCAACCATCACACATTAAAACAAGCTCAAATAAACCTTAAAAACACCTTAAATTTTTGTAAGAGGGGGAAAATTATCATGCTGAATAATTTTTCGGATCAGATATAACTGGATGCCTAAGCGACGAACGTGATTGGCTGACCCACTCGTTATGCCGCTAACAAGAATCCACTGCTCGCAGTTTAGAATATGATTTGTACCTACCTGCATTTACAGGGCTATTTTTATTAAGTAAAAATTAGAGAATTAAAAATGTAAGAATTAAATACATAATTCAAAATATATAGAGAATATGTAATGCCTATAATGACTGTACTTACTTTCTTTGTACTTATATTCATCAGTGATGTCTTCCCGTTCATATCGCCCAACAGCTTTTGTACTTATATATTGGCCGATTCTGGAAATATTGTAAACATTTAAAAACCATTACAACGCTAAACTGCATTAATTGTATTCAAAATAATAGGCTTAGAAATGGAATACAGATAAAAAAAATTCAGGAGATTGTTTTTTATTCAAAAAACGGGACATAAATAAGAATTTTTTGGTCCAAAATAAATATCCAGACCATATGTAAAGACGGTAAACGGCAAAATAAAACAAAGGTAAAATTTGAGATCCTTTTCTTGATATGACTAAATCCTAAAAAGTTTAAAACAATGAATCCTGTACCAGTAAAGCTACATGTTTAGCCCTCTTATATATCATAATTAGTGGATTGTCACTTATTTCGAACTATCGATTTTTGCTTTTTTTTATTACCATTATCAATTAATAATTAAAAATTTTGGGTTAAAAATTCAAATTCTTTGATTCCCTTAAATCAATCATTTAAATTCCGTATTTATATTATTAAAAAACAGGATGTTCTTAACAAACTTAAAAATCCGAAATGTCAGAAGAAAAAGCTAAGACTCTGAACAAATAAGAACACATATTTTATCAGTAAAATCAAAATTACTACTACCCCTAAGATTTAAAAAAAAATCACATTTTGAGAAAATTATAAGCATGAAACATTTTACTGTCTGAACAAATAAACTGTGCACCAAGAGACAATTTAAACTGAGAGTTCGAAAACTTACGCTTCAGTCTTCTTATTGATGAGTTTCAGAGGATTGTTCTTTCCGCGGTACCTCCAGTATACTTTATCTGCATTCACTTCGGCAAAGACGAAAGGTCCATCAAAAGGTTTCTGTATCTCTCCTCTTTTGATTGCTGCTACACTAGAAGGTCCACAACGATACTGACCTATTAAATAGGTCAAATGAATTAAAACGATCATCATCATTCGTTTCAAATTATCAAGTAAAATAGGTGCAAAATTACTATTGCTTATAAGTTAACAACGCTTCATTAATTAAACGTAACGCGAATAAATATAATAATTCTGGATGATGGCATCTTTATAGAATCGCGCAAACTAAATGACACTAAAATGCTTATTATGAAGCATAAGTATTAAAGATATTACTTTTGCTTACTAAAAAAAAGTATTAAATATGATGTATAATTGCTAAATTTATAAAGATTTGGCGAAAAACATTTTGCCAACTGAAAACAATATAGTATAATAATGATATTAGTAATTTTGAAGCAAAATTAATAAAAAATTTCTAACATTCACATAATTTTCGCAAAGATTCGTTCTATATTCCCATACTCTCCAAAAGAAAGTGAAAGGCCGCTATAGTCCAGGGGTTGGAGAATCGAGCTCCGCTACAGAGGGATCGGGGTTCGATCCTCGACTCCACTACGACCCACCGAGTACATCCGATTAACATGCTCGTAAATTCTGAGCAATCGAAAGTTCTGGGGTCTGTCGCTGAGCAGTACCATAGATCTGGAGAAAATTCCTTTCTCCTTCTGATGCATGTCTAAATTTAAGAAGTTGTCTCACGAATGAGTGGTGCTGCCATCTATTCACGGTACTCTGAGCTAAGATGTACTTTCACCCTTGCGATGCTCTCTGGTCAAACGTAAAGCACAACTTCCTGACTTAACTCGAAAAAAGCCAATGGTTGGCAAACTTGACTTGTCCAAGTGACATCAAAAACAACAAAAAAAGAAATTAAAGAAGAAGAAATAATATTTCTTAAAAATCAATGAAAATTTAAGTTAGAAAACTAAAAATTATGAATAAAAAGATAAAATATTCTATGAGAGAATAGCATTGGTAATTAAAAAATAATAACACACACAATGAATTGACATAATTCTTAATTATGTTTAAACCCACCATCAGATGTTTCTTGAGGAGTCGCGTCAATGGCTTGCCATCCAGAATAGCCACCTGGTTCCAAATCAGGACGTTCCATCCATACTTCATTCCATACATGGAAGTTCCTAAAATTTCGAAAAATTAAATTAACGGAGCAGTAATCAGTAGGGGAAGATCATAACGAAATAGATTTTTTTTTTATTTGTAGCTTGAAAGCGATGTAATTAAAATATCCAGTTACAAACATTTTACCCTAGCAATAATATTTACCTCAGTAGCATTCCCAGATAGCAAAATAAGGTTTATTTTCACTTAGCAAAAACCTTATAATGTAAACCTAAAAAGGTTTTTATGCAGTTTATGTGTAAACCTTCTAATCTAAAAACGAGATCTGTGACAATCTGCTCTATTCTACATACATTATCCTAATCCAAAACCTTGGAAAACAACCTTCCATATTAAAACCTTAAATCGAGGTTGATTTAGGGTTTTCAAGCAAGGAAAAATCTTTTAATAAGGCTAGTCTCAAGGTGAAAATAATCTTAAATCTAGGTAATTATAAGGTTTCTTCTGGCAACGTCTTGTATGCTCAGCTGAAATCCACCTTGTCATGAAATTTTAATGGACAATGCAATTTGATCCTATCTCTAGTGTGACGTCAGCTAAGGCGTCATTATGGGCTCAAGTGACCATTTTACCTAAGTAACAATACTTTTTAAAAACGTTTTAAAAAATAATTTTTAATTCTTTTAGGATGAAAGGTTTGAAACTGCAATATTTGCTTTATGGAAAAAAAGGTTTTTAGTACAAACATTTTCGTGGCAATTAAAAAGAAAATTCCGACACAAAGTTTCCGTAAGGTTGCATGCTTTCTGGGATGATATTTCTTCAGTTTTTTATCACAGGATATTTACATATACAGTACCTGGCTAAATTATTAGACGAACTATAAGATTAGAATTATCATTCATGTTTTAGGTGCTTAAATTTTTTACATGAAATTATATAGAGGAATAATTTTGGTAATTATATAACCCAGATAACGGGCAGTCTTACGTCAAACATTGTATTCTCATTTTCAGCTTCTCAAATGCAAAATTTTGTCTGTGTTCAAAACTTAATGACGAGGCTAACTTTGACTATTAAAGCGTTAAAGAAAGTTTATAAAAACCTGAGTAAATAAAACTTAATTCAACGATGGTCATAAAATATAAAATAAACCATGAGAAGGTGAATTTATACTCGAAAAGTAGCATAGTTAAATTTAATATTGTTTCAAGCTTGTCTGATCATTTATTTGGGTTTAAGGTTGTTGCTGGCAATTAAAATTAACCTTACACTGCTATCTGATGGTAAGTAACTGCGACTGAGAAAAAATAATAAAGCATATTTTCATTTTGAAAAAGTTGAATATATTTTTTTTAATATTTACAAAAGCTTTATTATGGCATTAAAAGAACCAAGTATTTACAAATTCATTGTTTTAACATAAGTAATATTTAGAAGTTAAGAAGAAAAAACAATTAAATCACTATTTAAGATTGTAATAAAACACATACCACACAGAGTCGATATTAAGTTTTTCTAATGGTTCTCCATCTTCATTGTAGAAGTAATCAATTGTCAAACTATTGTGAGTGTCATGCGCAGAAGCGAAATTAGTGACAGAACGGCATGGAATACCCAAAGCTCGACAGGCTGAAAACATGAGAAACAATCAATATACAACTAAATATTTCTAAAAATTAATAAAAAATTTAAATTCAATCAATTTAAGAGACAAAAAAAATGTCAAAGGGAAGTAATTTCGGAATGTTTAAGTAAACTAACGAAGTAATGTCAGGTGAAATTTTAATAAAATTATGCAAAATGTTATTTAATTAATCATATTTTTATTTCATTTATTGAAATATCATTTTCTTCCTTTAATTCATATTAGTAATTCGTTAGTTAGCAGGAATACAACTTTCCATAATTATGTGATAAATTCTTTATTTTTGAGAAAAATATAGTTAATTTAAATGATAAATATTGTCAAGGGTTTTAATGTTATCAATACAAAATGTATCTATGATGAAAAAAGAAAGAACAATTATACTACTAATATAAAAAAGCACATCTAATATAAAAAAGCCTTTAATTAACAAAACGGTTAGCGCACTGCACATATTAATTACCTTCATGATGTAGTTTTTTAGCAATTTTGATGCATTTTGCGAATTTACTTAAATTTTTTAACACTCGGACTGCCGAATAATTCGGTATACCCAGAACGGCCATAAGCGGTCAAATTGACTGTTCCTTAAAAACAGTGATAAAAATTGAATGTTAAGGTATATTAGGTAAGAAATTGTTATATAGGGTTAGAAATTGTTATTTTCATGTTGTTCTCATATGAATCATAGTTTAAAATATTTAATTTTACTCATTTATTGGAAGAAAAAAAACATATTGAGTTAGGGGTTAAATGATAAAAAATAATTGTACTAAAATAAAGTTTAAAATCGTTTCAAATCTTTTTGCGGTCAAAATGACCGGTCTGGCCGTTCTAGTGTTAATGCACGGATCAATTGAAAAAAATTACTACAACAATGTTCGACCAAACAATCCCCAGTAAAAAGTTATAAGAAATAGCGTTCAAAAACTCGAATATTTGCAAAAAATTTTTAATTTTTAAGATTAAGAATATTAACTTTATGCAATTTGTAAAAGTACAGAGATTTGAAATTCGAAGAAACAATATTGGAGCATTTACCAGTTGTTACAACTCCAGAGAAGACCCAACATTGACCGTATTTCACGGGCTTCTTATTCTTGTAATATTGCTGAAGTATTGCAATACTCCCTTGCCAAGATGTGGGAGCTTGACCGCCACCATAGTCATCGGACCAATTACCAACCAATACTCCGTGGTCATCGGGTGAATTGACCTGTATAAAGCACTAAATTATTATATGTTCTAAAGAATTTTCATCACAAAATAAATAATCATAACAGTATACATACGACTGCAGAAATATGCCTGACAACTTTCACAGGATCAGATCTATCAACAATTGAGAGTTTAGCGATATGACCAAGTAAATATACGCAACATTGCAGAATGTTCTCTTGAAACTAGAAAGAAATGTATTTATATTTCAGCATTTCTAACACATAAACGAAAAGTGGTCTCTTAATATTCTAAATTGAGTTTATAGGCTTCATTTGAATGGATGCTTCCTTACCTGTCCATAGTTCCAGACACAAGGGCGCAACCTGTTGTTGGTCCCTCTCCAAATCAAACCCCCTTCATTCAATACGTATTCTTTTCTGTGCTCACTATCGCTCATGTAAACAATGTCCTCTGAAATAAATAAACAAATATTCATATATATGTTACCGGCAAAGTGTGAAACGCCGCCATTCTATAGAATGCCTAGGCATTGCATATGTTACCGTTAAAGTATATAATGCAGTTATTTCATAGAATACCTAGTTATTCCATGAAATACCTGATCGTGTCCGTTAAAGTGTGCAATATGTTATTAATTTGACACTTTAACTAGTTTTTCTATGAAATAACTAGGGATTCTATAAATTAACTAATGAGAGACAGTTAAAGTGTAAAATAAACAATTGATCTAAAATGAAATAACTAGGTATTCTATAAATAAACTAATGATAGACAATTATAATGAAAAAGAAGCAATTTATCTAATTTATGCAGCGTATAAATGGTATTTATGGAAACGTACCAGAAAATCATTTGTTACAACAAGGATTACTAAAATGACACTTGGAATTACAAAGAACATTATTTCTAAAACAAAAACATTTTTTGTTGAATAGTTCATAAATGCAGTAGGGGTGGAAGGTAAATGTATTTGTCGTGCGAGATATGTGATTATGATATAGATTATTTTACACTTTAACGAGCTGCAGATCGTTATTCTATGAAATAACTAGTTGAAATACAAGAGAGTTTTACACTTTAACGGACACGATCAATTATTTCATGGAATATCTAGGTATTCTGTAAAATAACGGATTTCATACTTTAACGGTAACATATATAAAGCCGGATGTTTTTGGGCAAGGTATGAAATATGAGAAGTATTGCATGCTTTCCCTAGGCATTGTACATAATATCTAGGCATTCTATCGAATGACAAATGCTATTTAGACAAAGAAAGAATAAAACGTCCTGATGAGGTTGTTATGTAAATGATGTGCATTTTTGAAAAATAAAAATGTAATTCTGAAAAAAATAATGAGAGTGCCATTAAAAAAAATTATTCAAAATGCGTAAAGAAAAATGAAAGTTGTACAAAACATAATTTATGCCTTTATTATAAAGGGAAACAAAATTTTCTTATAAAAAATTCACATTTAAGTCACAATTATTTTCAGTTTAGAAACAAATATTGCACAAAATATCCATTTCACCACCTTTACTAACATGGCCACAGAAGATTTTATACTTTGCCGGTTTCTCATTTCGTATTCTATAGAATGCCTAGGAAATGTGCGAAATATGAATCATTTCATACATTGCCGGCAAGTTTTAGGCATTATATACAATACCTAGGCATTCTATACAATGCCTGATTTCAAACATTGGCGGTAACATATATATAATTTTGTTTTTTTTTTAATCTATAAGTTATGTTGTACCGCTATATTTTATTCAACAACGAGTTATTTGCTATAGAGAAAAATCCGATTTTTATGTATCAACACTAATAGTGAGTTAATTATGTGTGCTTACTGTTATTAGTGTGCCAATATGAAAGTGTAAAAAGGAAATAAAAAAGAAGCAATTAGTGTATTAGTCATTATCAATTAAAAGTATTACCTAAACATGAATGTTAGGATGTAAAAAATTTCTTTATGTTTCATTTGAAAGGTCTAAAATGTATATAAACGCTTAATTTTTATGGATACTAAATTTAATATTAAAGTCTTTTTCTAAATCAACGATTTATAGATAATAGGCATAAACATAAAATAAATTCCCTAATTAATTGATTAAAAGTATTGAAAAATTCTTACGTTTGCACCATGGATTGAAAAGTATGTAAATGGGTGTTTTGGAAGTGTATCTTAAGCTCTTAGCTTCTTCCTCTTTGTCTCTCTTTATCTTTGTGTCTACATCAACTATCCAGTCGCCTACAATGCAATTTGGAGTTGTCGTTACCTAGCAAAATAATAAAATAAATATCGCATGTTATGAAATTTAACGAAACAAATAACTACAATAGTTTTAGTATCAATTTGTAAAGTTCTACAAAGATATTCAGAAGCTACTGTATGGAAGCCACGTAGAAGGTTGTCTCCGGTAAGAACTTCCCCCTTCACAAAGCCTGAGCTCGCCTGCTGCTATGGAAACAAGAATAGCTCATTTCAGGGTGGGTAGCTTCTCTTCATTCTAAGGCTAACACAGTAGACCGAGGACAATGATTCCCTTTCTCTCGCCGACTCGAGCCAAAACCTGTTCTTAACAATAAAGCCACACTCATACTTAAAAAAAGTAATACCTCGTTACCATAGTTATCACCACGGGTTCAGACGAATGGCTAGGGAAGTTCTTACTTTAGACAAACTATAGTAAAGTGAAACCCGGTGGTTGAATGGAGCTTCGTGCTCCAGTGGCCGAGGTGCAAGGTTGCTTCAAGCTTTTATTCCTTCAATGGGTCGATGAAAGCGAATACTAAGTATACTTGGAGACTAGTGAATAATGCGGATCACCCAACCTAAACAATTGCTTTTGTATCCTGGAGTCCAAAGTCAAGAAAACTGAGATAAACACAGCTGTCCTTGGCCTCTAATGGGCTACGAGACTTATAATTGTAAGCGAAAAACTTTCTGTTCGCTTTTAAGAGCCGTTGTGGCTCAGAGAATTGAGCTCTCGCCTCCCAATGAGGTAGCCCGGGTTCTAATCCTTGCGGAGAATGGTCGATATGAAATCCACACCCGGCTCGCACCGACCACAGTGCGTACGTAAAATATCCTCAGTGGTAGACGGATCATAGATTAGAGTCCCCCCGCCATCAGGCTTACCGCTGGAAATGTTCGTGGTTTTCCTCACTATATAAAGAAAATGCGGATCAGTTCCCTCAAAAAGTCGCCCACAAAGGCAAATTTCTCACAATGATCTGGATTGGGTTCAAAATTAAAAAGCTACAGAGTTGAAGATTGGTAATCGTAAACTCAAAATTGGGTCAGCTGTTCAACGACGGTTATAAAATAAAATAAAATTCGCTTAAAAAGCTCGTGTGATATGGTGATCTCACAAAAAGCAAAATTAATATAAAGGGTGCTAAATTTTCGACCGCTTTCTAGACCAAACTATTGAGACCACATTTCCCAGATCGTGGCTCTCCCTATATTTTAGGGGGCCCGGAATCCAACTCTGTCAACAATAATAATAATTAAAAAAAAAAAGTTTCAGTTTTTTAATTTTTTTTTTATTACTATTATTTTTTTTTACTATGCATAAATCATTTAAAAATAATTTACACTTATTAAAATAGCATTTTTTGCCAACTACTTACTATTGCAAACTTGAAATAAGAAGATAAAGTCATAATTATTGCAATAATTTGTACAATAATGTGCTTCTAATTTTATTGAAATTAATTCACACTCAGCCTACCAGCATTGCCTTCAGTGTGCAATGCTAAATCTTTCAAATCTGTCACTGAATAAAATATTTTTTTTTTTAAATTTTCTACTTTTTTAACCTTCTCTAAATTTTTCTTTATTAAATTTACTATTTTAAATATTTAAATCAATGAAAACGTTTAATTTTAAATTCGTATATCATCTAATAAACAAACTATAATAAAATGAAAAAATAAATTCTTTGCTCTAAATATATGTTCGAATTTTGTATATAAGAGAAGTTTTTATACATCGAAATATATATGGATGTATCTAGAAAAAAATTTAAAAAAAAACTGTTTTATAAATTATATCTGAAAAAGCAATAATTTTAAGTTAGAATACTGCTTTAGAAATAAATAATTATATCCATATACTTACTTCGATTAAAACAGAGTTCTCCTCTGCGCCTTCTAATAGTTTCGTTTGCCAACCGTCAGATGGCAACACTGAATTATCTAATTCCATCAAAGGACAAAATATCATGCTTCCCTGAGAATAGGAGGGGTTTTTAGCATCTGAAAGAAAAATTAAAAATTGGAAAAATGTAATTTTAATTAAATTGAATAAAAAAATATTAGTTGTATTTATAAAATAAAATTACGAATTTAAATGCAGAATTAAAAGATATACTCTAGAAAAATAAACATAAAAAAGATCAAGTATTTTCAGTAGTTCGTACATTTTTTAAGTTAGATTAAGTTAGACCAAGAACAAACTATACAAACAAAATTCTGAAAATAAGATACGCTTGTCTGTTTTTCTATTTTTGAAAATATCTTTGTCTAAGCGTAACTAACATTAAAATAAATTATCAGCTTCATTTAAAAAAAAAATTTTAACGTAAAAAAGAAATTTAAAAAAAAATTTTAACGTTAAAAAGAAATTTTAAAAAAAATTAATAAATCCTCAGCACAAAAATTTTTTATTAAATTACCTAAAATTTATTTATTTATTTGCATTATTTTATTCCTTAAAATTTTCAAAAAATATTTCAAGCTATCAAGCGCTGTTCTTCCAGTCAAATAAAGTAAATCCTCCATTTTTCACCTTTTCTAGATGCTTTGTGTTATATAGTAATAATCTCTCATCAAGAATTTGCTATGAATCAAAAAAGAAATAATTTTAAAAATAATTTTCGGGGAAAAAAATTAACATAAAATTAAAATGGCAAAGAAAGAGTGCTACGCGATTCCATGTATCGCGTATTCTTATAGGATCGCGTATCCTATAAGAAAAAAGAAATAAATAAATAAAAATAACTATGTCTCTAATTTATACGGAAACTTAGAAAGTTTTAAACAAAATCAATGCAATATTTTAATGTCTGTTACATTTTCAATAACCATTTACTAATGACCTTCGAACACTACTCCTTAGTATGATTTAAAGTACAAAAATTTATACTATACAGTAAAAGCACAATAAAATTGCGGCACAAAAAGACTATTTACCTTTGGCAGTAAATACAATGCACACAACATCTTTTTCTTTGTCATAACTTCGGTTAAGTTTGATTCCCAATTTAAATGGAAAACCCCTTCGTATGACTAGATTTGGGGTATCTGACTGCACTATGTCATAGTCACCAGTAAAGTGGGCGGTAACATTTTCATCAATGTGATAATCTATTCCTTGAACAACCAGTACTCCTTCTTCAGGTCTTTCATCGGCCGAAACTGAAAAAAAAAATCAATCGATTAAATACTGAAAATTATATGGAAATACGTAAATAAAAATATCACTGAGGAGAAAGTAAGTTCAAAATTACCGCAATATGGAGAAATTTACAGTGTTTCTGGCTCTATGGGAACACCAAAAAGCACGGTAGTTTCATGTTTTGGAAATGATTTTGGTAAAATTAACAATAAATATTGTATTATAACATATGCTAAAATTTTGTAAATGTGGTAATTTTTTGATGATACCTCATAACAGTGGTTCCCAAAAGGTGCTCTGCGGAACCTTATGGTTCCGTGGAAAGTCAAAGGAGTTCCGTGAGTTAGGACTTTTTTTTAACCTGTAATAGTTCAATATATTGAATAAATTGCTAAAAGGATATGCATTTACAAACGATCGTATCAGCATTTCGCCTTGCATTTTAAATTCAAAATTAAATAACTAAATTCAAGAATTACGAATTACTTTTCTTCGGTAACCATTCTCACATTTTATCATCACAATTGGGTTCTTTTTTAAAAACCATAATTTAGTTTGCTTTATTCAATTTGATTCACGCATGAGCCAAAAACTAATAATCTGAAAGCTAGAAAACCTAATTTTAAGATTGTTATTGATGAAACAATGAAAAAATTTCATTTTCTTCACATTAAATGTTTCTGAATTGTTTTAAAGGTGATTTCTTTAGTAGCATATTTACACCTGCTAATTAGCTTTTTTTTTGTATATTTTACTAAACGTGTGATAATAAGAGCTATAATTTTGAAAACCAGAAATTCCGGAAACCATGAACATAAAAATTATCAAACTATCAAGAATTTAAATAACATATATTTCGGTTTTATTACCAAAATATTTAACCAGAGATGTCTTTGCCATAAAGTACGATAATTTTGCCATTTTTTCCTCGGTGCAAAATTTTACGCGAAGCTAAAAACTTGGATTTTAATTTCACATTATGTGTAAATATGAATAGGATATCAGGAATATATATTTAAATAATGAAAAAATGTGCGTCTGTCAAGACAGTGTATCGCAATGATAGCAACAATAAAATATAAGTATTTCTCCTATGATTAAGTTTGCTGAACCAAATAATATTGCACTATTAAAATTGTGAAATACCATGAATACCCTTGACTTTTCAAAATCACTCTCTTATACATGCGTTTTTTTTTCTCCTTTTAATGTATGATTAATTAAATACAAAAATAAGTAAGCGTTTTCTTATACAAAATTAGTGTCTTACATTTTTTTCCCTTTAAAATGGCTCAAATACAAAATTTTCTTATTTTTAACTTTACAATAAAAGAAAAATATTTAATCATTTAAGAAAGACACTTGCAAAGCCAGCAAAAAAATAAAAGTTTTAAAAACTAGATCAATCATTTACTTTAACATTTATTGATTTATAAAATCGAAGATCTTGAAATGATAGTTATCTTTTAACAAGTTAATTACATACAATTAAACGTATAATAACTTTATAAACCTTTTGATATTGTAAAATTAAATTATACCCATTGAAGCTATAACTTTTTTCACGAAATCATTTCTGTTAGAGGAGTGTTAAACAAATGTCCTTGGGGCACTGCCTGCACCATCATATCTTTATCACGATTCGGTAATTTTAGGCAAAATAGCGTGTCATGCTAAACAGAAGGTGAAAACAATAGTAATTTGCAACCATCTTGAATTTTTATTGGATGGAAAATATTTCAATATCCTTTTCAGGATGCATAATTCATTTTTTTTTTTGTAGAAACCACTAACCTCAAGTTTAATCCTTTTCCTAAGAAAAAAATTCTACATACTTGTCCGGATTTTTTTCTGTGCAGCTGTTTAGCAAACCTTCTTTGAATTTAAATGGGTTGCAATGCGTTGGTGTTTTCAGTGGATATATTGAAATAATGCTACGATGAATAAGATATTATTGTAAATATCACATTCGTGCAATATTGACATAAGTCACGCATACTATAAGGTAAGACTTAATGCATTCTCTTCTCCGTTTATTTTGTGAATTGAAAGTGCTAAACTCTTACAGCAAAACGGCAATAAAATGACGCAATTGACAGAAGTGACACAAAAAGGAATTCTCAAAATAATGAGTTCAAAATTGCTGAACCATAATATCGATAAATAAAACCATAATTTTCTGCAACCTTAATAAAATTCCAAATTGAACATTTTCCTCGTTTATCTTAAACCATAGTACCACGTAATCAACTTTAAAAAGGATTAATTTGAACTATAATATTGCACCATTTAGCATTATATTATTATTGTAGCGTATTTTCCCAATTGATGGTTCCAGGAATCAGTATTATAGATAAACATTGAATCATTTTTTTGAGAATCTCTTTACGTGTTTACTCCAAGCAAGAATGTTATAGCTAAACAAAATATCAAGTTTCGTTTTTCAGCCTTCATAAGGAGTCGTTTTGAAATCGCTAATTGGAAAGTTTAAATGGGAGACTCAATTCCAAAGTAGTTTTTAGACGTTAAATTGAACAAATACAACAATGAAAAGGTTTTAAAGCTAGTAAATGCACATTTACATGATGTTTATAAAGTCGCTGCGCATCTCCTAAGATGTAATAGGGAGAGAAAGCATTTCTACGTTAGCTTACATACAATCTCATACGAAAGATTTCAAGCAGCTGTGCATGCTGGTGTTTATTTTAGATTCTACGTTGCGTTGACGTTGTTAGCGTTACAAAGACAGAACTACAAGCACGTTGTTGATAACTGTTAAATGCTGTTTTTTGTTTAAGCCTAACTTCGAATTAAAAATATGAACATGGAATGAGAGCTTGAAGAAATGTATTGATACAATTTAGAAATGAATCGTGTTACAACAATTGGTTGAATTAATTAAAAACAAACTCATACGCACTTCTAATGCGCATGGACAATTATTTCAAATCTTATGCACGGAAGCAGATGGAAGCTACCGTAAATTTGTGAAATCTCCCTAATGCCACTCTTTCTATATGTACTTTCTGAACCACGATGGCTCAAGGGATAGAGCGTTCGTTTTCCAATGAGGTGAACCGAGTTCGAATCCCGGCAATAGCTGGCCGATACGAATTCCGCATCCGGTTTGCACCGACCACAGTGCTGACGTGAAATATCCTCAGTGGTAGACTGATCACGGATTAGAGTACCCTTGCCGTCAGACTAACCGCGGGAGTTTCTCGTGGTGTTCCTCTCCATGTAACGCAAATGCGGGTTAGTTGCATGAAAAGTCCTCCACGAAGACAAATTTCTCCCAATATTTGATCCTGGAGTTCCCTTGTTTTCTGGATTGGGCTCAAAATTACAAGGTTACAATATATCTACTTTATAAGTTAAAAGTACAGAAATTCTGCTGGAGGGCTATAAAAACTATGACACATTTTCAGGAAGTAACACCACAAAGAGCTTGCACGTTTTCAAAATGAAATAATAATGATAATAATAATAATATCGTGCAAACGTGCTACAGCATTAATAAGGTGTAAGATTTAATCACGTTTTCACACAAATTGAACTTCAACATCATATAATTAAGTATAAGAAATATTAATTTGGAACCACATTATTGAGTCCAGAGACAGTCTGAACGATATAGTCTAAGGAGGGAGAAAGATTTCCATAAAAAAAATTTATGATAAAAATATAGATAACCTCACTCAGCGTAAATCGAGAAAAACAACGAATATATCTAATTTAAATATCACGGTCAAGGGCAAAATTCCTATGATCAAGGGTATTATAGTCAATAAACATACATTTATTTAGATCTAATGAAATATTTGAAAATACTCTGGTATCTAAAATACAATTTTTTAATTGTGCTGCTTAGCATATTTTGAATTTTATACGATAAAAGAACTTGGCACAATCAATAGTTCAGACAGGATTTTTCATTGAAATGAAAGTCGTGTTAATAATTTCGTACTTAAGCAGAAATTAGGTAAATGCTGAAATAATTATATGGCAAACATATATTTACAATCCTTTTTTTTGTTGCTGAAATTTTAAAAAAATGGTAGTCTGAGTAGGAAAAATTGCTTAGAGTTAATTTAAAAAATGTTCTTTTTTTTCTTCCAAGTACAATAAAAGGCGTTTCAATATAAAACCAGCTAAATCCCTTTTCTAGAATTTTAAAGAGTGGAAAATTTTTACAGATGGGCAACAGGTTTATTAAATAGATCGATCTATACAACGCTAAACTCATAATAGTTTGCTAATTTGTCTCAACTTCGATGTGAAAAATAAAATTATAATGTTTTGGTTAGTGTTAAAGTAAACCATATATCCGTTAAATGTGGTTCTCACTATCGTATAATCAATAATAATTAACACAATTAAAAGATTTAACATCATCCAATACGTGATTAGATGTAGAGTACGCCACATAAAAAACTGACCAAAATGAATAACTTTTGATCCAATGATTGGATCTTCACGTTTCAGGACTCAATCTTAATGGTTCGACAGGGTTACCTCAAATATGCTAATTAATAAGGGTAGATGATATTTCAAGTTACGAAATCAGACACAAAACGTACTTTTTCTGAATAAACATACCTTTTTTAAGATGGATTCGAATTTCTGGCCCCGTAAATATAGCCGCAATCAGGGAAATATAGTCAAAATAGTTTGGTCAGGAGAGGGGCCCAAAATTTCGGTCCCTTAATGTTAATTTGATTGCTATATCTCGAGAACTTTTTAAACGAATTGAAAAATGTTGGTATGCAAATATTAAAATTTTTTTGTCCAAAGATAATTCCATGCAAAAACCAAATTTTTGTAAATATTTAAAAAATTTTATAATTTAATACTGCAATAAGCAAAAAAATTTTGAATTTTAAAGTAAAAAAAATTTTTGCATCATATTCAAATTTGTAATTTCACATGGCAAAATACAACAATTGAGCAAAATTAGTCTTTTTTATAATTTGAGAAATCAAATTATAAAAAAGTCGCATATTTTCACTGTATAAAGTTC